GCGGTGGCCGAGTGCACAGACAGGTGCCTTCCTTTGCCGAAGGTCAGCGGAATTCTGGCTTTAGCCTCCAGACACCTTCACCACTTGGGCTTCTATGAAAGGTGCAGAGATTGCGGAGAAGTTCTCTAAAGACGCAGGACTGCGCCACAGGCAGTTTGGACTCAAATTCTTGCAACAGTTCCCGAGTGCTAGCCTCACCGTCCCCGTGGGCCTGGAATGCTATGAAGTTACGCATATCCACAAGCAGCTCATCATATTCTGTTGAAGCTGGGGTGGGTGCTTGCTGAGGATTCTCATCTCCCTCATTCCCTGTGTGTTGTGGTAAAATGAGGTGGTTTCTTGCCCTCATCTTAGCTAATAAAGATGAAGAGTCTAGTGCACTGGATGATGATTCTCCCGATTTTCCATCAAAGTGCCCACTGGAACTACATTTCTTTACATTTTCTTTCTTTATTGTATCTGCATCCTGCAAATAAACAGACTATGGAGAAAGTTGGATTTTGAGATCCACAGAATCTGTTAAACAACATCTGCCTGTTGTTTAGACTTAAACAGAAAACATCAACACTCAGAAGCTAGTCATCTGAAATACACAATAAAGAGGTAATATGTTCTGGTCTCTACTTTACAGCTTAGGAAGCAAAAGAAAAGCATTGCTGGTCTTGAGACAGATAACCAGACCACATTGCAATTTGTGACTGCTGTATCTAATCAGATTTCATCAAGTTGCTATATCAAAACATGAAAAATACAATTCATGGGTGCCTAAAAATTCTAGAATTCTACAATCACATGACAAATGGGCACGAGACATCTACAGTATAAATCAGTATATATACAGTATAAATATTTTTGTTGCATAAAACATAACATTTCACATATATCAACTATTAAAAGAGAAATGTCAGCTTCCGTCTCTTACCTTGCATTTTGCAGGTGATGCAAAAGTGGAATGTGAAGAAAGCAGCATGGGGTTTCTTTTTTGACCAAACCGATTCCTAAAAACCCACAAAAGAATTAAATCCCTAAAACATACTTCTCAAAACGATTAGGATAGTTTTCGGCCAAAGACACTGACCGAGTTTGTGTTTTAGGGTTCTCAAGGGCACTCTGCCAAACTCTCTCTTCTACTGTGAGCAATAATGCTTTATTTGTACTTCAGAATGGACTTCCTAGGCTTGTAATATGCCTTCATGTCTTTATTTTTGATACATGTTACTGCAAATACCAAGTGCAAAAAAAAAAAAAAGATAAAACCATAGCATCCTAAGGAACTCTTCTATTTTTGGAAAAGCAGAGAGAACTGAACTTACTTTATTCCTGATGGTGCACCTGAAAGACCACTCATGCCTGTCCAGGTTGGAACACCAGAAGCAGCTCCTAAACATCGCTGTCGAGAGACTTTTAAGGCTCTTAAGGCATCTTGGGCCACTCTGTTTGCTTCTGCTTCCACCAGCACATGATCTGCACTGGTAGCTTCCATAATGGCATCATGCTTCATAACACTATGTACCCCTAAAAAACAGAAGACACAGGAAAAGGTACAGGAGAACATCTCTTTATTTACATGGTTATCTGTAAAATTAAATATTCATCATTTAAGTGAATGCCAGAATCACATTTTTCCTTTTTCAGGTTGATTATATTCAGCACTTCAGTATAGTAATTTCTATTAAGAGAACCCCTTCTATCAGTTAAGCAATCAATTTGACAGCAAACCACTTCTGGTGTGCTGATGAGGTCATTATTCACAACAGACTTGGCAATTATGTGGGTAAATCGATCATTTCTATTGTTATGGACAGGACAGATAGAAGTGAAACCCTTGTGTAAATGAAGGTTGGTTACATCCTTATTTCCAGAAGAAACACTGCATTACGTCTATATCCAAAAGTGTTTCTGGAAGGCTGCAGATCTCTGAAACATTTGTGCCAAGGTAATTAACACATTCATAACCACAGCATTTCAACAACGAACACTTGAATGTTTCACTATAGTAACAGAATAGTTAAAACACGTTTTGTATTGTAGCTCTAACCATCAGAGTAACACAAGTGCTCCTTCCCTCACTTGCTTAAGTTTTATATACCTAGGTTTAAATAGTCTGAGAGTATTGAGCAGTCAAGTAACAAGTTACCTGATTTTTTGAAAAGTTTCTCCAAGACGTAATCATCATTTTTCTTTGAGTCTTCCTCCTTCTCTTCACTGTTCTCCCTTCTGTATTGCTTTTGTTTCACTAGATGAGGAATGCGCTCTCCTTCAAATTTGGCATCTTTGTGATGTTTCTTCTTAGACTTATCTTTGTGGTTTTCATGTGACAGCATATCCACCCTGTGCTTTGTTTTTGAGGTACATTTATAATGATTATTATCTAATTGCTCATCTTCAGTTTTAGCAACCTGCTTTTCCCAAGAGTCAGCTGCACCACATGTAAGGCTAAAATCTCCCTTGATATTTGCATTAGCTGCTCTACATACTTCATCAGCCACCATAGTGTTCAGACACTTGGCATTCTCCAAAGACCCTGCATCAGCTGGCAATGACTGGGACATAGATTTGTCAGCTCTTTCCAAGCTTTCCTCTTTGCTTTTATTCAATGAATTTGTATTAGTAGTAGCTTGTGCATTATCTTTTGCACAGCTATTTTGGCCAAAGGCTTCCAAATTTCCTTTGGTTTCCTCACTTGTCTCTATTGCTTGAGAAGAAGAATTTGTCATGTGAGTTGTTGAGCAGGAATTGGATGACTTGCTGTACTTTGGCGACCTGTTTTCTGGAAGATGGAGATCACCTTTAGAAGTGTCATTATCAGGTGGCTTTTCAAGTTTCCGTTTCAATTGGTGTTTTGGGACCTGAACATCTGAACCAGTACCTGAAGGATAAATGAAATTAGCACCCATTTATCAAACACTTCAAAAACTTTTTTTTTTGTTTTAAACAAATAGGAAAAAAGTGTACCTGCAAAAATTGCACTTGTTTCTGTCCCCTGAGACACATCTGGGTTGCTCAGAGTAAAAAGTTCGTAAAGGTCATTTGATTTGAAAAAGCGCCTCTGCTTAGGGTCTTTCAGCACTCTGTTTGTTAAAAACTGTTTGAAGATTTGTCTAAAACAGAAAAAAAAAAGTACTTTGTACATGAAACAACGTCTAAGCTATGTTTAAGTACTGAATACAGTACTTAAACAGAAAACTGTATAAGTGCAAATGTTACCCTGCAGAACAATTAAGCAGTGGGAAGATGATGTTAAGTTTCCAAAAGACAATCTTGAGTTAGTAACTTTCAAACAACCAACTAAATTGTTAAACACAGGGATTTATTGTTTTGCAACAAGCCCATAACACAACAGGTAACCACTATCCTGAAACATCCTATGAGGCATCCCTTAACCAAGCAATAAATAACTTCACAGCTAGATTTTTTCTTTTTGTCCATTAAAATTGAAAAGCTTGCATATATTACAATAAAACTATCTGAAAGCTCCTGAAAGAAAAACAAGAGCTTGTTAAAAAGACAACATTTTAAGGTTTCAATCGTTGGAGGAATCAAAAGCAGCAGAGTAGCTCAGTCTGATGGTGATGACTGAATGACAGCCACTGAAAAGGGAAATCAGATTTGTAGTTGAGAGGAGGGGAGAAAAGAACCTATCTGCAGAGGACTGAAATGAACAAGTTTGGATGAGAATAAGCTGCAAAAAGCCTTCTAGTATTGGTAAGTCTACTTCTATGCCATGTTTGTACTACATAGCTTTTGATTGCAAATTCTAGAAACTATTTTCCTGTACAAAAAATACATCCCTAAATAAAGCTGGAAATCAGCTTTCAAGAAGTGTTATCATCATGGTTTTGGCTCTTCTGGCATTAAGCAGGGAAACTATTTTTAAATCCAATATACAAAAATTAAGTTTAAATGTAGGTGCCAGCTACTGCAGTGCACCCACCAGAAGACTTTAAAGTTTTTAACAATTAACTAAGCTTCACAGCATCCTGCAAGGATGATCACATATTTGCAGGGAATAAAACACAGGCAAAGATAAAAGACAACTTGCTTAGTCCATTGCACTGTTCTGGAAATAAATGAATTTCTGATGGCTGTCCTGACCCTTAGAGCCCACTTCCTTGATGTGGTCAGTGTTGTTCAAACAGAAGTATGCCAGAGGGACACAAGCCAATCAGCAGCGGATTCTTTGTGTCCATGTGGTAAAACAGATTAGAAAAGGCACTCAATAAGTGCGGGTATTTCATTATTTAGAGCTTTTCATTCACCTGCACTTTCGAAGAGGATATTCCAGTTCTAAAGAGTAATGCCTAGACAGAGGATTCCCATGTACATTCATTTGAAATTCATGTGAGTGAAGCTAACTACTGAGAAAGCTGAATGGGGAAGCAAAACAAAAAGATTTCATTGATTAGAAATGCAAGCACTTTAAGGCTTTAGCTACATTTTGGAATAAATAATGAGAATATGACTGGTGGTTCTTGGGATTTAAATCTCTCACTTTGGAATGATTTGAGAATAAAATCAAATTTGGTTTGCAGAGTAGTAGATGGATGGATGTACCACATACATCTTCATATATGCTAGAGACAATATAAAGAACTTGTTGATTTCAATTTGCATTTCAGACTTCTTGAGTGTCATGTTCTGAGTAAGGGGCTCATTTTTTTCCTCATTTCTATGCCTCATTTACAGTGAATTCAGGATGTGCTCGACACAGCTGGTAGAACAGATTGATGAAGTGTAGTTAGCATGTGGGCCTTGGAGCTAGAGAGGCAGCTAGGAGTCTAATAGTAGAATAAGGCCCATTTCTCAGCAGAAATTTTTAAAAGTTTTCCATGACATGCCCATCACGACCAAGGTTAGGGGTTACAAGCCACGTGTGCACACGCACACGTGTGTCACTGTTACACCAGCTCAGATTCGCTACAAACACTTTCTTTAGCATGCAGCTGTATCCAAGGAATCATTTTGACTGACCTGTGGTATATCTTCTCTTCAATAGTACCTGCAGTGAGAAGCCTATACACAGTCACCTGTTTCTTTTGGCCTATTCTCCAAGCACGTTCCCGAGCCTGGAACAGAAAAGGTTTGGTTACCAGACGTTAGCCTCTTAGATATGTGGCTGACAGAGAGCTATCGATACCACTGTTTCAAACCTAGTTTGGACATTTAACAAATAGTTCAAGAAGTTACACTGCTGTTGTATTTCTACATTAGGATAACTAACTCAGCAGGAGAGGAAAACAATTTGGAAAGCTTACATATGTAAAATGACAAGTCTCCAATTGTACAAAGCAATCTATGCAAAAAATCTCAAAAAATAAATTATGTTAAAATTAGAACTTGTATCTAGGATATATACTTTATATAGACTTATTCCAAAAGGGATCTGTTTCACAGTAGAGCTTTAATATACACATTTGAAATTTTTTTTTTTTTTCCTTAACTGAAAGCTTTCCTACAAACATCTTGAACCAACCGCTAAACCAGACCACTCTAGGTCAGACTACACACTTGCAGATCTCAGAGCTATGTACGATTTCCATCAAAAATAGTTTTTTCCTCTCAAACGTGTAAGCCCTACATACTGTTAAGGGATCTGATAAACCAGAGTCTCATCACATCATCAGATACAGAACAACTTCTTTAAGAAGTTTTTAAGTTTAAGTTTTCTTACAATCTGCATTGCCACCATGAACAGTCATGCCTGTTGACAATCTTGCACAGCTGTACTCTCCTTTCAGAAACATCTAGTTTGTTTATTTGTTTAAAAAACCAAGGCCATTTCAACTGTTTGTTTGGCTACACTCTAAACAGACTATATGAATCGACAATATTGAAGAATGGTAAGGTATAACAGCATAAAGGGGATGTGGTGGGAACCACTTAAATTGGCTTTGCCACAAGAGTAATCATAATGTGGAACTGCACCCTGAGCAACCATTGCTGGGAACAGCAACATAGTGCTTTAACACTATTTGAGGAGATATATGTCATTCCACCTTCAGTTTTATTTCAACTTAGCTGGTAAATGGAATGTAATGAAACAAAAACTCACCTGTGTGTCTGTACTGGGATTCCAGTCAGGATCATAAATAATAACCCGGTCAGCACCAGTCAAGTTAACTCCAATGCCACCAACACGAGTTGTGAGAAGAAAAATAAATATGGATTTGTCCTATAACACAAGAGAATTTAATAACGCAAGAATTACCAGAGTACAAGATATTTTTTTTAATTTCCTGGATTCTTTTATTACCAGCATTATTTGCAAAGATGCAAAGGGAACCAAGAGAAGGAATACATTTCCTTGTTTAACATCTCTTTTGACAAATAAAAGTAGTTTGATCTAAATTTCATTTACTGTTGTCCAATAAAATTTTCTTTTTTTTCTGAGTTTTGTGTCTCAAACCTGAAGTAGTGTATTTAAAAACAGATAAAAAAGGAATGCAAGAACTCAACCATACTCACTAATAGGCATTAGTGTGGGGGATACAACATCTCACCTCATTATATCTTGTTACCAGGGGCTGTCTGGAAGCTATTGTTGTGGTGCCATCCATCCTGAGGTAGGAATAGTTTCTGTCTCTCACAAAGACTTCAAGTATCTGCAGCATCTGTTGTGATGGAAAAAAAATTAATGAAATCCAGATGTGAAGACTAAGCAACTGTCTGATCAAGGCATAGGAATTTCTGGTACTAACTGCAGTGCCAGTCAAACAAACAAGATGACAATCAGAAACTTTTGAATCTTAAATGAGCAGAAAATTCATTAACATATGTAATTAGGGGGAAAAAAAGAGTAGTTATTTCACTGCTGAACACAAATGTAGAATGTTTGTACTTGGTTTACGAAGTCCAGATCCATGGTCTCAAGACAATTAATGAGATAAATAGTGCAGCATTCCAGGGAATCCACGGAAGCAAGACAAAATTGTGAATACATAGGGAAAACAAATGAAAGTCACTGTCTGTGCTACTGGAACAAAGCACACAATTCTGAGGATTAGATGCACACGTGCACTAAACAGAGTGACCAAACTGACTACCAATTCTATCCTGAAACTACACAGTAGGGACAATAGGGACAATAAATACATCACCACTGCTTCAGCCTGGTATTATATGGGTACAACTGATACAAGCTTTGATCCAGTATATTGAATCTGGGCAACACTGCCACAACACTGTCATTCCACTAAAGCTCGCTGAGCTTGGAAACTGGTCTCCAATTACTCCAAACACATTAGTCATTTTAGTATCTTTTTCACGAAGATGTTAATTTTCTGAGAAGGACACTACAAAAGGTGGTTCTAATTACTCCTGTTGGGACACACACACTTACTTTTTTAGTTTTAGTGAAAACTAAACCTAAAACCAATTATCTCATCGTACCTGTCTTGACTGCGTAAAAAACAACACTCTGTGACCTTGCTTGTGCCATATTTTCAGCAAGGATTCTACCACTATCATTTTTCCAGAACGTTTCCAATATCCAAGCTGATCTGCTTCCTCCACTTCAGCATCTGGTACACCCTTCAAAATCCTGGGACCACCAGAGAAGAGGTCAGGGTGGTTGCAAATCTTTCTCAAAGCTACCAGTCCTGAGAAAATCTAAAGAGGACAGAAGAAAAAATATTTTTATTTTCTTGACAAATACTTGTGTCTATATGGGATGTGGTTGAGAAAAATAAACAGCAATGGATTAATCCATTCATCATCAAGAAGTTTGTTTTTAATAGTGGTTTGCTCTTCAGAGAAGCCAAAGGACACTAATACTCATTTCATGGAAAGTTTTAGGAAAAATCAGTACAAGAGAAGGTCAAGGAAATTTTACGTTCTTGTGAGCCTATTCTGGTGACAAGAGCATTCTGCAACAATTTCCACATTAGCAAAAGCAGTCCCTAGCTGTAACTCACAATTTTTTTCCTACTCAAAAGGAAAAATTCCACCAAGTTTCCAACCCCTGCCATGTTAGCAGATAACTTGACAGACCTTGAGGATAGCAAGTGTACCCACCAGAACACATGGTAACAAAGAACAGATGAGTAAAAATTTTTGAACAAACATGTGAAGATGGAAATTACCACTTCTGATGCTGTATTAGAAGGCTTCTGTTCAGTTATTCATTCAATAATATTACAAGTGTTATTTATTCTTCTGATAGAACGGGCACTCATAAAAATGAACTAGCTTGAAACAGCAAATCCCTCAATCTTCTATCACTACAAGTTGGATGAGCCTGCTCAAAATTTATGGTTTATTTGTACAATGAGGTCTTTGTTTTTCAGCTGGGATTCACTGCTGTCATCACAAAACATCTAATAAAAGCATTGACATTTACAGTTCAAAATTTTCAGAACTGTAGCAAATATGACAGCTCATTCTGTAACATCTTAGATATTTCTGCAGATAGTCTTGTACAAGCCATCTCTTGAAGATCAAGCTCCTTAAAATAATTCTCATGGGGATAACTAAAATTGCTAGGCACTTGAAAAAACTTGGCCACTATCTGTGTAACATCTGGAAAAATAAAAAAGTCAAAATAGTGATAAGGTCAACATCTGCTTTGCATGGCACTGCAGTATACATGGCTGTACTGACCACGCAACTAACTAGAGCCACTGGGGTTGAGGGGAGAAGGCATTTCATAGTTCACAAGACAAGGAAACGTGGTGAATTACACATTATAACCAAGAAATATTAATTATACTCTTACAAGCAATAAATCTGTATCCTGCAGGTACAATGGGAGTGAAAAACGTCCACTGCCTGCATACAAAAGTCAAATGGACCAGATGCGGGCAATGTAGGTGTCACAGGGAATAGCAGACTTTTTACACAGACAACAGCAAGCATTTGAAACTGTATTTCAATTACTGCTGTCATCCTGGCCTCAGCAATTTCAACACTTGCATTGTGAGGATGGAGGCAAAAGATGTTGAAGTGACTAGTGAGACAATAACAATGCTTGCTATTTGCTCTGCTATATGTTAAGACTCTAAGAAATAATCAACTGTTGCATCACAAAGTTATCATACCTAAACTCTCAGGACAAATTATGCTTTTCCTTTGCTTCACTTTTGCAATTGGTTAAAAAGCATGCATACAGTTACCTAGAGCAGGTCATCCAACAAGCCATAATTTGTCCCCAAGATCACAAACATGTTGTGAAGCCCACTGCATTCCTACTTTTATTTGGTCATGCCACTACACAGGGCTAACTAACTCTACATATTCCATGGAACATTTCTGAGGGAAAAAAAAAAAGCAGACATTCACAAAAGCAGAACTGACATCTGTGTGTTTGCTTCCCTTTCTGCTCAGAATCCAGCTAGAAGAATGACAAGGTCAGTCCATGACTTTATCCATCAAACTCTATCTGCCATTAACCTTAATTAATGCCAACCTGCATGTCTCCATTGAGAATCTGGTAAACTTCTTTAGAGTTGATGAAATTTTGATAGACTTGACGCTGCTCATCTGTCAAACGGCAAAAGAGAACCTACCAAAACAAACAAACAAACTGCTCAAGCCCAACCAGTTTTAATGAGGTAACTCTGCAGTGTTAGCATTCTCTCAAAGCTATGTTTATAGTAAATGCTTTCCATTGTGTCTGTTACGTCCCTTAAAACTTGCGAATTCTTAGTACCTCATGGGAAAACCAGGTTAGCACATGTAATCTGTTCTGTCATTAGTCTTTGAGTGTGAGCATAAACTGATTTTGTAGATGGTCTGATGGACTAAAATGGAACAAAGTCACTTCCTTGCAACCTGCAAGGCACCTGACATTATGCCGCAACTTAAACTTATGTAGTGCCCTGTGATTCACAAGAACAAAAATCAAATTTGTTTAATCTGTCGATGATTGCATTCTTTAGAGTAAATAGCCCAGACTCTTTAAAGTGTATAGAAATTCAAAATTTGATTAAAAAAATCTTTATACTGCACAGCAGAAATTGTGTATGGCCTACTCATTCATTATGTACCTTCTGTACTGTTTTACAAAGACTAGCATGGCTACTTCTCTTTTAGAGGGAGGAGACAGGAAGGAAAAGAGTGAGGAGAGGACAAGAAAGCCTGAAGCACTGAAACCCGAGTGGCAGAAGAATCCAATAATTACTACAAGTGAGCATTTGTAGGAATTTCAGTTGTTTAAATAATCCTTTCAACCTCCTCTACTTTGAATCAAAACGTTTCCTGAAAAATATCCCACCTCTTCGTAGAGCGAACAAGTTTTAGCTCAAAAGGCTTATATTTTGGAAGTTTATTAGAATGTACAGGCCTAGCTAACTTGCAGTATGAACAACTGCCATCAAGTATTTCCCTACTATTTGCTGCCCAAACTAACTTTTTTACATCAGGAAACAATGTTAAAGTGTCCAAAAGATGGACATTGGAAACACCCCACAGACAACTCATTTGTATGCACCTGTGACCTAGGACAGACCTGACTGCACTTCATACAGCCTTTGCTTTTTTAGATGAGACTGTACTTGCATAGACCCTGCAAAACTACAACCATTTAATACTCAGAAAACAGGTGAAAAGAATAAGGAATTTGAAAGCCCTACACCTTACCTTTAGTTAAAACAGCATTTCATCTGCTATTAACACAAATTATTTCCAAATGTCTATGAAAGATAGGATTTTGGGGAGGGAGAGGGTTCAGATCTTTTAGTAAAGATAAGCAAACCTGTTCATTTTTATCTGGAAGTGAAAGGCTCATTTTTACATCAGCCTTCATTCTTCGCAGCAAGTAGGGGTTTATGGTATCCCTTAACACACAGGCACATTTGTATGCAGTTTTTACCTGAAGAAGGAAGAAAAAGCAAAAGTTTTATTTTGGTTCTTGCTATTAGTTTTAGCAACAAGCAAGATTCCATAATTAGTAATAGGAAAATCCTAATAAAATGAGATTATGATTTATGTGGATCTACAGTTACATATTCAACACAACATGAATTGCAATAAAATTCATGCTAGCAACAATAACATTGAATAGGTATCTGAGTCTTCCTCAGATACCACTAATTTATCTTTCCTGATTTAGTGTAATTTGAGAGACCAGAAATGAGAGATTTCTTTTAGAAACCAATCTAAGAAGAGAGTATAAACTTGCACAGAGCCAAAATCCACAGAAAAAACTGCTAATACATATACTGAAGATCAAAAAAGAAGCCTGCAGCAATGGTGGTTACTGGACAATAAGTGAAGATTAGTACCCGCTTGAGACTATTAAAAAAATCGGTACAAGAAAATCCCCATGATCACAGAAACGAAAGGTCACTCTGGCCTTAAATGGAGCATATGGTTCTATAATGGGTAATGGATGTGTGAGATGGGTATTAACTGTACATAATGGCTAAAAATACCTTCATTTCTCTTAAAGCAAAACAAAGAATATAATAAATTATTAATATGTAGAAAACAAATTAGCTGTCCAATTTAGTAAATTACTAAGCTTTAGACAAGGGAAGTACTTAAAACTTTAGAAATGTATGTGTGCAAAACATTACAAAACTATTTAAAAGGATACAAGTTTATTAGCATTTATATGAAACTTAGTCTGCAGATTATTATGCAGACAATTTATCTATCAGCTAATTTGAAAAATGTTTAAGAAGTCATATATACTGAGAACTACAACTACAAAGATTAACAAACATTCAAAATATTCCAAATAATTTTTGCTTGCAAAATTAAATAGTTTATCTACTTTCAATACCTATTTTAGCTTTTTAAAAATGAAAACGATTTTCAGTTTGGATTTAAAGATTCCTCTATTGCATAATTTGCTGAAGCTTGATATCAAACAGGAAAGTTCTACTTAAATACATCAAAATATCAGATCAATCCCCTCCCACCCCAACTTACTTATCTTTACTTTATATCAAATAGTACTTCTGATGATTTACAGTTTAGGGCTTTTGACAAGAAAACTTTGTGTATAAGCTACACCCCTGTATAAATGAAATGGTCTCATTTAGTTGAATAGTTCTTTTCACATATGCAGCAGTTAAAAACACATGCAACTCTCTTTTGGGTTAGTGTCTAGAACATACAGCATGAGGTACATTTAAAGTCAGTTTTGAAACAACATAACAGTTTCCTTCAGACGATGTGATATTTTTGATGCATTTACCTGGACAGGAGAGGCATTGGCATATCCTCCCATTGTTATTGGAACAGAAAATTGCTCCATGAACACAGGTAGTGTTCCCAGTTTCCCTGGGAATACAAAGTCAAAGAGGGACCAGAGCTCCTTTAGGTTATTTTGCATGGGAGAGCCAGACAAGATGATTCGATGGGGTGTGCGGAACTATTAATAAAAAAAAAAAAAAGAAATAAAACCAAAAGAAAGTTATTTTCTTGGTTCATGGTGTAGCCTGCCTCCTGCCTCAAGAGGATATTCAATTTCACCATCAAGAATTCTCATTTTAGAATATGTGGCCTCATATTCCTGAAATAAACAGCTTTCTGCAATATATTTTCAATAAACTGTTAGGAGAAAATGAACACCAGCAATCTGATATTTATCCCTATGGTAAATTACTACACAATTTGATGTTTCTGATTTTTTTTTTCCTCGACCATACTTCTGTAAATTTACTGACGTAAACTCATTTAAAATGTTAAGTAAATTAAATAGTCAAATATAGACCATTGTGATTTATGCTTTTATTCTTTATTAATGGTCAAACGTGTATTTTAATCATAAAGTAATACAAGTTATTAGATTTTGGAACCTTCCCTCCAGCCCTTAAAATCTTTCATTTATCTTTTATGAAGTACCTGCTTGCATGCAAGTGTGACTGCGGCATTTGGATTTCGGATTTTGTGACCCTCATCCAGAATCACATAATGCCAGTCATAGCTGTGGATGTTATCCTGCATCAGTCGAATGTATGAGTAAGATGTAATTAAAATTCCATGGCATGAAGCAATTTCACGAATTAGTTTCACCTAAAAGCAAAAGGTGCACATTGTCAGTAACAGTGAGATAGAAAACTCAGACCTACTCAACTACAGGCTTGCTGCCCAAAGCATGTACAAAAAGTTTTGAAAAGCAGATATATAATTTACTGTGCAAAGAAAATAAGTATAGGCAAGGCTTTGATTGTATGATTCTTAGCTCATCTGTAAGAGAATGAAGCACTTGGAAACTGTGGGGTTTTTTTGTTTGTTTTTTTAAAGGCAACATCTGAAAAACACTAAATTTGATTAAAGTAACTGGTTTCTTCAAGTTCTCCTATGTTCACCTCACAAACCCAGCTTTGGGGACTGCATGCAAGATTTAGAGAGTAAGAGGAAAATTAAACAAGTGAAAAACCAAAAACAATCACAAGAATCTATTTAGTTAATCCTAAATTCTGTCCAACCTCTCTGATTAATAGGATTAATATATTTGTTATTAACCTTCAAATTTTGCGCTTGTCTTGTAAGCTATATCCTTCCCCCAAGTTTTTACTAGCCTTTATAGCTGTAAATTATGTAGGACAGGGACAGTCTGTATCCCTGTCCACAGCATTCAAGCCTCTTTCTTGCATTTATCCTCCACGTACAAATCCTAAAGACGATGGGCTGGGAGGCGATTCTGGATGAAACAAACAAACCCAAAGTAACAGAAAAAAGGTAGAACCACCACAGAATTTGCTGAAAGACAAAACCCTTATTACTAGAATTGTCTTTAAAAAAACAAACAAAAAACAACCAAAAAACCAAACCAAACCAAAAAAATCCATTTCAGACTCAGATGGTGTTAAAAGTCCATGAGCAAGAAGTTTTTACAGTAAGATATCAAAGATATAACTCAAGATTCAAAAAGTAATTCTGTGTTTAACTATTCAAGAATTTCTACTTTCTGATTATCATCTCCTGATAAAACCATTACATATTATTTTATGTTGACATCATGATTCTCAAGAGAAAATGTAATCTTTAGAACAATTTGTACTACAGACAGAGTAGGATTTCTAGGCAGGTGTGGACATCCAAAGCTTAATTCTACCTGGTGTGTTGCCCATAGTCTGTAACCGTGTCCTAGAGCCTCAGCAATGGCCTATCATAGATTATTGTAGGCATCTCTACTGAAACACTTAAAAGACAAATCATCTCGGGCGATTTCAAATTAAAAGCTTGTAAAATATGTAACCTCTCCTAGTTTTTGCAATTAATAGGGTATGTCTGCAATTAGCCTGACTTACAGAATGCTACACTGTTGTCATTAAAAGATGTTTTGTGAAAGTGCTGCTGTTATTATGGAGGCTCAAGAGACCAATCCCTCCTAGAGGGCAAACAGTGGACTAGTAGAAAACAACTGCCATAAATCACGTTGTCAGGTAGCAGAGAGAACAGAAGTGAAACACAGGCACATGAAGGCCATTCACTGTAAACACACCACAGCAGAATCCTAGTCAGGATTTACTGAACCTGTAATTAATTAAAGTTTCCTTCAAGCTAAATTTTTAATAAACAAGGATTTGTGCTGACAATGAAGAAATACAACACCAGAATTTTATCAACTCACACTACAACACTTATTAACTCTCATTTTACTGCATTGGGTACTTTCTCAGAGGTTGCCTTCGCTTTAGTTGGAATATTTTAAATATAATTTTATA